CGGAGTCGGCGTGCGCTTTACACCTATCGACGCCGATGAGTACCGCCTAGTACAGGCGTATCTCACTACACTGGAGGGAACGGGGGGTCTCAGCTGGTACTCCTACGCCCTCCCAGAGGAGAGAAGCTTGAAGGTCGCAATCCGCGGCCTTCCATTCAACACGGAACCACAACAGATTATGGAGGCCCTCGCTGCCGAAGGACACGAGTGCGAACACGTCAAACGCATTCACGCGCGAGCCGGCCGCCCCGGCTGTATTTTCTTCGCCGCTGTTAAGAAAACGCCTAACACTATCCCGGCCATTTATGATTTAAGGGAGCTCCTGTGTATGACGGGGGTCACCCTCGAAGCCTGGAGGGGGAAGAAGGGCCCGGCACAATGCCATCGGTGCCAAGGGTTCCGGCATTCCTCCAAAGGGTGCCACCGTCCGCTAGCATGCGTGAGATGCGGAGCCCCGCACGCCGCCGCCGACTGCCCGCGCCCACGGTCGGAGCCCGCGACCTGTGCGAACTGCGGCGGGCCTCACCCCGCAAACCACACAAGCTGCCCGGCATTTCGAAAAGAGTGCCGCAACAAGACCGCGTCTACGGTGGCCAAGACGGGCCCCGTTACGAACGCCACTATCTCCAGACAAGAGGTGAGTGAAACCGCACCGGCCACTCTAATGGCCCCGGCAAACGACCCGCCCAAGCGACTGCAGACTGCAGACTGCACTGCGAATGCAGTCAACCGCCGCCGCCGCAAGAAGAGAGGACGACGCGGCGCTTCAAAAAGCGTCACCACGACCCTCCCTACTGCACCCCCGCCACCCACGCAAGCACCCGCACCTACACAGGTACCACCAACTGCGACAGCTGACGCTATAAAGCAACTTTTTGCCGTCACTGAACAGCTCACGCAATGCCTCCGACTACTCACGCCGCAACATTCGCAGCCTTAAGAATTGTTCATTGGAACGCACAATCACTCACTGGGAAGCGACGGTTGCTATTGCATTTTTTGCAGGAGCAAAAAATAGACATCGCCCTGGTGAGTGAAACAAAATTATCTAAGAACACAGTTTTTAAGCTGCCTTACTACAGCATCTACAGACAGGAGGAGACGTCACCCGTGGACGGACGCCCCATCAGAGGGCTGATGGTGATCGTCCACCGAAGGGTGATACACCAGCCTGCGCCCATAGCGCCGAATAATACACTTCGAGCCCTAGGCATAGACATCCAATTAGGCGACACGGACGTGAGAGTGTACGCGGTCTACCGACCGCCGGGCAGCACGCTTGACATCCGTGAGTTGAGGGGCCTCCTGCGCCCGCTACCTACCATCTTGGCGGGCGACCTCAATGCCAAACATACTGCCTGGCACTCCCTCAGCTGCAACACCACCGGAAGCCGCATTTACCAGGATGCCCTGGACCAGGACTATGAAGTGTCGGGCCCTTCCGAACCGACGAGACACGACCCTGCAGGCCGTGTGGATGACGTTTTGGACATCCTGGTCCACCGAGGGATATCTTCCATCATAGAACAGGAGGTGATGATGGACCTCCCATCCGACCATCGACCGGTGCTGTGTACACTACACAGCCTCCCCGCACGCACGATGCCACCACCACCACGAGTCCGCATCGATTGGGACACGTACCAGCGGACGGCAGCAACCCAAACCACGTCATGCCCCATTAACACCACAGCAAATGTTGAGGCAGCAGCGGATGATCTGACCAAGACGATACGCGCCGCACTTTCTTCGGCTACAAGCACCCACTCCAGAAATGGAAGGACACCACCACTCCCGAGTAAGATCAAGGACCTCATAGCCGAGAAACGCGGAGCCCGGCGACTGTGGCAGGACACCCGCTGCCCCACTGCTAAGGCCCGTCTAAACACCCTGACTACCAAGGTAAGACGAGCACTAGAAGACCACGCAGCCCAGAAATGGGACAACCACCTGCTTAGCGTGGGCGATGACATGCCCTGTGCTCACCGCCTATGCAAGCAGCTCACCAAAACCAAGTCGACACCACGCCCCCTCATCGGCACAGACGGCAACCCGCGCTACCGAGCGGAAGACCGCGCCGAACTGCTGGCGGATCACCTGGCTCGCCTCTTCACGCCCAATGAGGCGACGGACAGCGAGCACGTCGAGACCGTGAGGTCTCACGTGATTAGCTGTACGTCGTCTCCACCAGCCGCAGACACAGACCCCATTTTCTTCACGCCCCGCCAGGTGCAACGGGAGATACTGAAGTCCAAACCCCGTAAGGCGCCTGGCCCGGACGAGATCACAAACGCCGCGCTCCGACACCTGCCACCGAAAACCGTAGCTGCCATCACCAGGCTGTACAACGGCATATGCCGCACGGGCCATTTCCCCACCTCTTGGAAGGAGGGTAGAGTGATTCTCATACCCAAGCCGGGGAAAAACCTGTCCCACCCCGAGAGCTACCGGCCAATCACTCTACTCCTCACTTTGTCGAAAGTATTCGAACGACTGCTACTGCTGAAGATGACGCCGCACCTGTACCCCCGTCCGGAGCAATTCGGATTCCGCGCCGGCCACTCCACCACGCTCCAGCTCACTCGAGTGCTCCACTACCTCGCCACCTGTTTCAACAAACGAGAGTACACAGCGCTCGTGATGTTGGACATGGAGAAGGCTTTTGACAGGGTGTGGCACGAGGGGCTGCTATTCAAGCTGTCCAAGTCAACCCTGCCGCTCCGAATACTGATGATCCTCAAATCCTTCCTCACAAACCGCACCATCCACGTGGCAGTCGAGGGAGTATACTCCACCCCACGACCCGTTCAAGCGGGCGTCCCCCAGGGCAGCTGCCTGTCGCCCCACCTATATGCGGCCTACACGGACGACGTCCCCGTCCAAGGGGCCACCAAATTAGCGCTTTATGCGGATGACACGGCCTTTTACGCATCATCCATCCGCCCCGCCCACGCAGCTGCAAAACTACAACCAACATTAGATGCACTAGAACCATGGCTGATGAAATGGCGCATGCGCGCCAACCCAAGCAAGACGCAGGCCATAATCACCGGCCTCCACCGTGAAAACCCGCCTCCATTAAAATTCCTAGGTGAAGCAGTATCCTGGGCCCCACATGCCAAATACCTAGGAGTTACCATAGACCGCCGCCTTACTCTCAACAAGCACGTGAGCAATATTATAGCACAGACGAAAGGAGCCCGCTCACAACTCAAATTCGTATTATGCAGCCGCTTACCTCTCAAAACGAAAGTAAGTATTTACAAAATGTACATTCGACCCTTACTAACATACGCGGCGCCCGCTTGGTTTGCACTACTGTCTGAAACGCAGCGAAAACGCATCCGCGCGCAACAACACCTCACCCTGCGAACCATCACCAACGCGGGCCGCTATGTTAGTAACGCCACTTTACACCGCGATCTGAAGATGGAGCCACTGGACGAGTTTGTAACCCGCCTAGCCCAAGGAATGTATGATCGAGCGGACGCCTCGACGAAATGCGTCACAAGCGTCACACGAATACTACATATATATGTGTGTGTGTGGGATGCGTGTGCAGCTTTTCCCGACGAGCAGGAAAGTTGGAGGGTAACTTGGCCAAGGCATATACATAATTTATTTATATGCCTTGGCCAAGCTGCAAGCTGTAGCTGCGTGCGCTGCTCCATTCCCCTATGCCTTATACACCGCCTAATGTTAGGTTATTTAAGAAAAGAAGTTACACACATGTGAAGTTGCGACATTGCGTAAAGAAGCAACATGCAGGCTGGCAGGGTGAGGTTGGCTTGTGTGGCAGATAGAACTGCTGTATCAGCTACCTTCGCATCTGGACTTCACCGTCACTTAACATCAGGTGGGGTGGAATAATTCGTCGGATCTATCTATAAAAAAAGTCTTTTGTTTTATTTTTATGTGAAAAGGACGTCAAAGGAACATAAGGTCCGCCTGAAGTTCTTCATAACTTATCGACACTATATGTAATATTTGAATATTACTCGCGCAGTATAATAAATTTATACTGAACCTTATTCCCTAACCCGAGAAGCCTTGGAGCACTTACTAACAATATCATCAGAAATATATACAACACCACCAAACAGCCGTCAGTATTATTTTCATTCTAGCTTTCTTTAAGGTTGAGGTTATGTACCCTACGAGTTTAGCTTCAATTTCAACGGACAATATGAATGTCCTACCTCTATTTAAAGTACCGCCTACAGTCTAGTTACGAGTACGAAGTACTGGATCGATAGTTAAAATAACACATGAAATGCGGCTGCTACTTAAGATTATTTTTCAACGTTATGAGTTTAGGCTATCGGCAAACAGAGCGGCTTCGGGAACTTATTGACGTGTTTTTTTAAGTGAATACATAAAGATTATTTATTAAAAAAACGAGTATGCTTATGATCACACGACTGAAGTGTAACTTCTTTAGCTCCATCTGTATGTATATATATGTGTGTAAAATATATACAAGTTTGTACACATACATATTTCATTTATAAACTTTTTGAGAAAGAAATCCGCGCGCAACAACACCTCACCCTGCGAACCATCACCAACGCGGGCCGCTATGTTAGTAACGCCACTTTACACCGCGATCTGAAGATGGAGCCACTGGACGAGTTTGTAACCCGCCTAGCCCAAGGAATGTATGATCGAGCGGACGCCTCGACGCATGAGCACCTGCGCGACATCGCGCCTGCGTACGAGCGCTCTCATACAAGACGCAACAGGGCCCTCCCACGAGAGCTAGCCCCACCTGAGATGACGCCCCCAATCTCCCGCCCGCGACAAACGCAGGCGGTCGAGCAACAACCACCGGACTGACGAAGGCCCCGCCCGCAAGGCGCGGGCGGGCCACCCCCTGAAACACACGCACACACCTAGATTGTTTAAAAAAAAAAATACAAAATATATATAAAACATTAAAAAAAAAAAGAAAAGAACAAAAAAAATACATAAAACATAATTAAAAAAAAAAAAAAAAAAAAAAACAATCTAGATACACACATGCATCCACACAAAATGGAAAGACAGACAACACCCCACATGACTATCCAGCCCCCCCACCTCATCACAAGTCCACCGCCTGCTCGCTGGTCGTTCACCGGGCCTCCCACATGGGTCGCACCCGGTGGGCTAGACCGCGCCGAGGGCAGGGAGGGGGAGAGTGGACACTAAAGACCGCTCTGCACGAGGCAGAGTGCGCACCCGATACTTCCAAAAAGACGCAAGTCTAGGGATTCCCCGCACGCCGCGGCGCAAGACGACAACGAGGTTGTGTTACTGAATATGTGTACCTACCTATCGTGAAATGACTGTTGCGCAACTCTTTTATCAAAATAACAATAATTTTACATTTCACCTATAACTAACTAGGACTACTATTTACAACACAAAGATTATTAAACTATTGAATTAGGGCGGCGGCTGTTCTGTACAACAGCCAAAGCAGACACATTTTTTGTTTTGTCAAATTCTTTGAGTATCATCTACGACAATTATCTTTTTCACAGAACAAAAAGATGAATTTACATTTAAAAAAAATGTGGTTTTATAAAACCATGAAGCAAGTGAAACTTTTAAAGTGGTTTTACACCGCCACAATCTTTTTTTCGGATCGTAAGCACAAAAAAATAGAAAAATTATTCGCAGTTGATCAATGTTAACTAAGGGGAGTGCTGTGCTACAAGGGTAACCGGTTGTCGCGGGGGGCCGGTTTAAGCCTCCGCCATCTGAATATGTCGTCATGTATGGGTTAAATGTTAACTTAACTAAAGAGCGATGTGACTTATAAAATAATGGCCTGGTACTGTACCAAATTCAACTTGTAGTATTGTGTTTACATTGTTGGTGGAGCTGGGTGTTTTTTGCCCATTGTCCTTTGTCGTGGGAGAGCTGCGCAGTGGCTTAGTTTGCAGCATGAGTGGGCTGGCTTGGCTATAGTGATACCACGACCACAAGAAATACCGGCGTGAAGTAGTACTATGTGCTGCATTTCGCCGACTGAGTGAGACTACTTCCTCCCTTCTCTTCATGATGGCGCAGATAAACAGAATAACACCCAGGGAATGCCAGCTGCTTCCGTGTTGAAAGATACCGCTCTCAATATCCACGCTCAGAACTGTATCCTTTTGGACGTAGACGTCGAGGTTGCCCTTGAGAGGCGAGGTTGTGGGGAGGGCGAAACCGCACTCAACACAAAAAGCGTCATATAACACCCACTGCCACATTTATCGTGGATTTCTGCAACGTCAGGAGTTTACACTCCAACCTTAATGCTGTCCACTACCACATTCAGACAGCATAGCCGGCCTTGCTCTTTTTAGCTGTTGGGACGAGCTAGGGAGATGCGTAAAACAACATAACCCTCCCCCAATTACGCTTCGTGAGCTCAAGATTGGAGAATAACAATAACACAGAGGATTGGGAGAATATTCCCCAAAATCGTATAAGAATCTTGCTACAAGTACACCACGGAACATAGAAAGAGGAAGACCTCTTTCTGTGTTCTGTGGTGTACACCATGCTAAACCGGATAAACGCAGTAATGGAAGCGCGTGGGGGCAATACGAAGTTTTTTTTTATTTTACTTTTCTCATGATTCGGCATTACAATCCAAAATTTTCACTCTTCTACCACCAACCTCTATTTTATAGTGGTACGAATTTCCTGGATCAGCAAGTAGTAAATGAAATTAAGGTTTAACTGAATAATTTTGTAAGAGCATCGAAGACGCAAGTTAATTCTAATGTGTTGATTTTCTTTTAAATAATATAACTTTGTTAGAGAACTAATCATATAATTTCATTGTAGCCTGTCGTCTATCACAAATCTATTTTTATTTACAATTGATTTGAAACACTTCCTTATTAGATTTCTATGCTTTGCAATGTCACTAAGCATTGAAGATCACGGAAACTTTAATGCCACTGCCAAACAGACAATGTACCGAAGCGACCTAAAACGCGTTGGCTAGCCTTGTTTATATTGTATTGCGACTAGATTCAAAATAAAAACGCCTCGTCTCGCTCTCTAGGCCCGCCATCTGTCTAGCGAAAGACTAAAATCCAAGATTGAGTTATTCATGATATCCGAACACTGCCGGATTTAGGGGAGGGCAACCGGGGGGAAAGCCCCGGGGCCTCCACAAACGGGGGGCCCCCACAATAGAGACTTCGGGGAAAAAAACTTTCAAATTCCAACTAGTGAACACTAGTAAACATCTTTTCCTTTGATATTTTTTTTGCTCTTTTACCTTTACCTACGGCCTACAGTACTTTGTACATCTAACATACATGATTATTTGATTATATTAATCTCTGGGCCTAAAGGCACTGCAGGTGGGGCTGTGGCCCAGGGGCCACCACAACGGCTTAAGAAATAACAAAATTTTGATGGGTCAACAAGCATACAAATCCTAAGTGGCCCGGGGCCTCCACAATCCTAAATCCGGCTCTGTATCCGAAACACATTAATCTGTAATAGACTATCCGACAGTATGAAAAAATCGGCATAGTTTTGAGTTATAAATAATTAAAGCTTCAGAAAAATAAAAATCTGAAACACGCGAATAAATCCATTAATGCAATCCAACCAGATTTATTTTTATGATGATAACACAAACGTTTGTGTCATTCTTTGTTGAACCTTTAACTTCTGCCCAATTTTGTACCTAGGTACAAATTATGTTAAAAATATCTAAAATTATACTTAAAAAGACTCACTCATCAAGATCTTTATAAATTCAATAGAATTTGGTGAAAATCTGAATGAAGTACAATGGGAATCTGCTTAAATAAACGTTATTATCTAGCTAGATGCAATTTGACATTGACAGATGATAACTAATACTATTGGTTTATATTCATTTCCTTATTGTGATTGGTTGTTAGAAAATGATGCGACTGTTTTCATCACATTGTAACCATGGACGTATAAAAAAAGGCGGACAGAGTTTCGGCTAAGACAAAACTGAGGCACCGTAATGGCGGCGGCTATTGATGAGTGAGTGAATTGTAGGGTTGCTAGGTTAGCCAATTTTTTACCAATAAAACACAGTAAAAAGGTGAAAATATTTTGATTGTTCAAAATTTTACTTTTTGTCCGACTGCGGAGGATAATGTTTTTTGAGCATATGTATGCATGTATGTCCAATAATTTGGCACGCCCTACAGCCTGAACGTCTTGACGGATTTTGACATGCGAGGTGTCATTTGATTAGTCGTGATTGTGTGAGTGGCACGGGGTATATTAAAATTTCAAAAAATCAAAATAACAGATTTTATGAGCCAAAATGAAACATTATGCAAAAAAAGTATAAGTATTTTTATAACCCGTCAAGCGAGGTATCAAAGTGAAGGGTTTTAAAAGAATATTTAGAAAATATACAACTCGTGTAATTAAAAAAAATGAAATTGAATTGTCGTAAATAAAAAAATGTACTAAAAAGAAAAAAACAAGTCCAGTAGTCTAGAACAAAGTTACTTTAACAGTCGGAACTCAGGAGAAATTCTAGAATATATCGAATTTTCTCAATATTGGGTAAATCAACTAAATATAGATGGCCTGGCCTGCATTCTCTTTCATATTTCTTAAAATAAACTAACACCCATTGAGTACTGTTTGTAATTGAGGAGTTCCATTGTTTTCCTCCGAAAGTACTCATCAGATCTCCAGTAAATTAATATGCAACCATCTCGCTAGTAAACTGATTAAAACAAAAAAAGAATCATCATAAACGGTCCATGAATCTTGGAGATCTGCGCGAACAACAATATAAAAAAACAAATATGACGCATTGCGAACCTCTTTCTTTTCGAAGTCGGTTAAAAATTTTAATCAACCTTTTGAGGTAATGCATACGTAATAACATGCCGGAGTCCTCCTTTAGTTGTATATAAGTCTTGAACTTCAAAATGAAGACTAAAAATGTGTGTGATATATGTATGGCAACATTTGATGACACTTATGTGACAGTGACTTTTCAATTAATAAATTCAACATGGAATAGAAGTCTTTTATTTATATCATAATTAAACCAGTGTTAACTAATATAGTACAAAATGACACTACTACATATTTGTTTGGAAATCAATAATTTTCCAGTAATTTCTCCATACTACATTTTCTTAAGGAAATCTGATAAAAAAGAATAATAAATAATAGATTGAAGTTAATGTCAACCCAATTTCGCATATTTTAGGTAATATGGTTACATGAACATTGGCAACACTGGACTTTAGATTAATCATTTTGTCCTTAGAATTAAAATTGATTTCAATTTCTAAAAACTAGAAAAAAGTTATTCAATTATTCATTTACCTATGAAACGTGATTCCTGGATTTTTTTTCTTTCGGTCACTACGGTTTTTACACCTTTTTACAAGCAAGATATCTTGTTTAGCTTATTTTTTATCTCCACGAAACGTGTCGGCTGCTTTGACGTTTGCACGCGTAGTGGCTGACTATTGTGTGAATGTGTGCGTGCCGGCTTGTACGTACAGCGACCTGGCCGACTCTGAGCGACACAGTTTATTGTTTACCGGGACTCTTTTTTATAAGTCCATGATTGTAACTATAGATATGACGTTGACATTTATTCATCCTGAGACACAGCCTTTTATCCAAACCTTCAGTTATTTTATTAGTATTTTTATGGGCTCGCAATATAATATTTTGTTAAAGCTTTTGTCGATCTGGTTTATTAATTTATGATTTCCGTAGCTTATTTCAATTAATTGAAAGATGCACATTACCATAATATTTATCTAAGTTAGCATTAATTTAAATGTTTAAACGACATTTTTATATGGTACAACTTTTAGAGCATATACATATTTACTCTGAGGGTACAAGTGGATAATAAAATAATTTCATATTATTGGTACATCTTTCAATATTAGCAATCGATATAAAACAACAATCCAAAATGATATTTATCCAGTTTTATGTTTGTATTAACTGTACATAATAACAGCCCTCAGGATCCGTTATATTACAAAAACATAATCCAAGTTTTTGTTGATATTGACAAGAAATGTATATGTGAGAGATAGAGACACAGATGCTTAAAATATTATCGTGTCCAGTTCAAAACAATGTATTCTCATTGTAGCATTATACTCACAAACATACAGGGTGTAAAAAGACCTTAGACTACCAAGTATTGTACCCATTATTAGGATTCTTGTCTTTAAGCAGCGCCGTCTTTGACCTAGGCATATTAGAATGGAGGCCCTGGGCATATTAGAATAATGGGGCCCCTGTGACCCCCGTTTGGAGATTTGACAGGACTAGGGACTTTGTATTTGATCTGAGGGGGGCCCCTATCGATCGTGGCGCCCTAGGCACTTGCACAAAGTGCCCACTGGGAAAGAGGGGCCTGTCTTTAAGACTATACCTAGGGAATCAATGGTGTCGATTCAGGCATGATTGTCTAAACTTAAAACTAAATGTTTATCCTTGTCATTCTTTATAAATAAAGACAAGGATAAACAGTTGTTAAATTTAAGTTTACGTTTAGAGAATCATACTAAATTTAACATCAGTTTCCCCTTTTCATTCTTTATAAATAATGACAAGGATAAACTGTTGTCAAAGGACAATGGGCAAAACGCACCCAGCTCCGCCAACAATGTAATAAGTATGAATCGATAAATCTATGAAAAACTACCCTTTTTATTATGACACCGAAAATAAATATCCTGGGAGTCAAAAGATATGACACCGTAAAAAATATCCTGGTAGTCAATAGATATAACACATGGACATATTTAAGTAGCTGAATAAATTCATTTTATAGTACCTTCATTTTATATTATTAGTAATCGTAATAATATGCCATATCGTACTATACAACCAGATACACGACAAAGCCTGCCGACCATCCTGCGCTTGCTCTTACTGAGACATGTCAAAACGGTTTACGGATGATGAAGGACTTGCAGTTGCAAATAGTCGACTCGTCTTACTTCGTTGTGATTGTGAGCACTTAATTGATTTTTATCTAACAAGCTTTGGATATTGGAACACGATTATCGGTTTTGTCAATTAGTATGGATGAACTGGAATTATGTGTTCTCCGAAGCGTGGACAAGTTTGTGTAATCTGTGGTCCCTCCGTTTTACATATCTTCTATTTAAAACGGACAATTTACTATAACGAACAGAATGTTTAAAAAAAACCCAACACATGCGGGGATCGGGATGTTTGGATTTACTCTAGCGCGGCAGAATAACATAAGGGGGCACCCTTGCACCTTGTGAAGTTACTCCCATAATTCCTGAGCACCCTATGTAGAGTCGAACTAACTAAATTAATTCCCTTGTTTCATTAATGTTCGTTCGTTATAGTACTTGTACACATTTAACTTAAAATAACTAAAGACCCCCGGGATGGAATTTGATGAGCTTTGGCACAGATGATCTTGACTATAATACCTTTCAAACAAATGTAGTGTAAGCCGTGGCGGACGTGGGTGCAGCGTCCATACATTTTTGCCCAATGTCCTTTAAGTTTAGGTTTAGAGAATCATTCCAGATCGACCCCATTGGTTATGAAGTTAATGAAGGTCAAAGCAAAAAAAATATTTCAAGGTATTAATGGAAACAAATTTTAAATACTATTTCTTAATTACTGTCCAAAGAAACATAAATTATGAAAATACTTAATAATTAAAGTTCAGTAAAACAAAAAAGGCTTTTAAAAGACATCACTCAATGTATCTCGACTGTAAGCGCACCTTCCAAGGATTCAACTATTATAACTAATAAATAATGTTTCCCAGCAATTTTGTTTTTCAAAGTTTCTTATTTTTATGTATATCTTTGGCTCCCGCTGTGTCGAGGATCATTTTACACCCTGTGTATTACTTGAATCGTAATATTAAGTAAAACGAAAAAAATATTATTCCCGAAATGATCGCATTCCTGAAAAGGAAGTCCAAGAGGCAAGAATACAAATGACTGGTATACAAGGTGTTTTGTCGAAACAAAACTAGTTTAAAAATCGTTCTCATAATGAAATTTACCTGCATAAAATTTGTAGGTACCAACGAAATTTATTAAAAGTGTCGAGATTCCGTATAATAAATATTAGCACACTACCCCATATACTCAACATTGCACAAGTTTTTTTATAAACTTTATCGCCAACTTAGGATAGTGATTACTTTGGGAAGCTGGATTTTATATAAGGTACAATTTTGAACTCCTCAGTCTCTAATTTACAGTCAATACTTGGTTTAGAGCTATGATAGGCAGCATTCAGGGTAGATGTTCATGGTAAAAAACCGTTTATTTATCGGATTAAGCGCAAGGCATCCCAATATTTGAGCTTAGCTAGCCAAATAACCGCACAAGAAAGAATATTCTTAGCTTATTATAATGTTAACAGATAAATAGAACATAAATAATAAAGTAACAAAGAAGTTTTAACATAACTTTTTGGATAATGTTGTAAATGGTATTATGCTTCACGCAAAAATCCCTTTTTCATTAGGTTATTAGACACCCATTTATTATTTATCCACCTATAAATGTTAATCGTGATTACACTTATTTGAACACATGTTTTCCTACACAGATAACGATACAAAACTATTATATTGTGCAATATTTCTTTTCAAGATGTCAGCACACAGACCCAGCACTCTTTCGAATCTGAAATTCAGAGAAATAAAAGGATTTTAGTTAATATAAATTAACATATTTGTTTCTTCGGTTTTTATGCACAGTACTCATTAAATAAAACAAGTTTCAACGGTATACATGCATTGATTTATATATTTATTGACATTTTGCATCCTTTTCAGGATGCGTCGCGTCGTCTGAATTATGATTTTGTTGAAACCTATTAATTTTTATTTAATTAAAAATAAAATCATAATTTAGGCGAAGCATCCATAAAAGGATGCGAAACGTCAATAAATAAATAAATCAGTGCATCTATACCGTTGAAACTTGTTTTATTTAATACAAGGGGATTAACCAAGGGGATAAAGCAGTGTCTTGTGTAACAGTGTAACAAAGGACTCGAGGTTTACTCCCGAGCGTAGCGAGGTTGTTAAAAACATAAATCACGAGCGAAGCGAGGGATTTAAGTTCACCCAAGACTAAGACAGCTTTATCACCGAGGAAAATACTCTACTTTTCGTACCATTTGCGAAAAAATTAACACAATAATAATATGAGATAAGCATTTAAAAATAATGACAGTTAATAGTAAAAGTTAATATACGAATAGACTTGCAACGAATAGTATATTCGGCAGTATACCGAATATTCGGCGAGGCCGCTGACCGAATAGCCGAATATTAGGCAAAAGTATTCGGCTGGATTTTAACGCCAAAAACTTGTACAGACGTGATTGTTTCGCGCTCCTTTGTTTTGTTCTAATGTACTCATCACCCGCGCGCCCGCTGTTGTTCTAGGGTGTATTCCGAAATACATATCAGTATACTGGCCAGCGGTAATGACATCACGAATCCGACGCCATATTGTACTGGTATGCTACCATATTTTTACCGGGAAAATGAATGACGTATGACCGAGCGTGCGTGAGATACATTCCAATTTTATTTCTTTTTTATTTAAAGAACAATGGCATCCGAACAAAAAGAATTCCTTTAAATTAATGAGGTGAATAAAAAATCTTCTTTATTCGCACTATTTTTAATATTTCGTCGATTTATGACGTCAGTGCACTGGCCTGTATATTTCGGAACAATTCACCAGTAAAGCGTCGATTCATGACGTCATTAACACTGGCCAGTATACTGGTTTTTTTACGGAATACACCCCTGATCTTTTCTTAAATATTAGTAATATATCACGTCATGACAACCCGTATCCATGGTGGCAAGCAAGTAAATTTGAATTTCCGTGTTTGATTAAGATTGCAGTAAAATATTTGTCGGCGCCAGGAAGTAGTGTTTATTCAGAGCGCCTTTTCTCTGAAGCTGGGATGGTCTACGAGAAAAAAAGAAGTAAACTACTTCCTAAAAATGCAGAAAAGTTAGTCTTTCTGCACCATAACCTTCCCCTTCTAAATTTTGATTATGAAAATAATTCAAATGCATAGAAAAATTCTTAACTTGTTTAATACAGAAAATGATTAAATTATGTACCTATTTTATGTATTTAATAAATGATTATAAAAGAAATGAGAACCTTAGGCGCTTTACAGACGACGGGGCGGGGCGGGCTTTTTGTCCGCGAAGCAATAAAATCCACGTCTGCCCGTCGATGTCTGCGGCTGCCCTCGCCTCGTACACAAAGCACACGACGGGCAGAGGCAGTCAGTTCAGGACGTTCGTTCTAGTGTATAGTCCATCACTAAAAAGCGCGTGGCGCGGACTGAGCTAGCCGCCCCGCGCCGCCGTCTGCGTTACTGCATATAAACTGATTTGTATGATGCCGCGGACATGCCGCGCCGCCAGTGCCCGCCGGGCGGCTGCGGCGCGGTCTTTTTGCCCTCTGTGTGCGTTTGTAGTTTAGGATTCACTTTGTGCTATCGTTCGCGGCGAAATTAACCGGCCCTCTCCGCCACGCCGTCTGCAAAGCGCCTTACCCTTCTAAATTTTGATTACCACAATAATTTAAATACATAGAAGCCTAAATTTTTCCAATTCAGAAGAAGATATTATGTACCTGTATTATGTACGAAAGACTACTTAAATGATTATATATAACAGAAATGAAAACATAAATATATACTTAATCAATCGATTTTAATTTTTCATTTTACCAATTATTTCTCTATGACAAAATATATTATTTAAGTATTCGGTATTCGGCCGAATATAATAAAAGCAGCCGAATAGGCCGAATACCGAATAGTAACCGAATATTCGTTGCAAGTCTACATTCGAAACATTGGTCCAATTATTGATAGAGAGAGTTACATTTTTGTTTGGTACATTTTTTGTTGATGAGTTGATTTGAGTATTTCTCTGTTCTTGCGTCTCTACTAGGTATGACCTACGGCCTCGTCGATTTTCGTAATTTTATTTAATAATCATAACTGCACAATAAATGCGTATTCCTTTTTCAAAAAGATGTATAATGCTTTATATACAAAGTCAATGGTGTAAACACAGATGTAGTTCAGTATAAATTTCGGTAAGTATTCCAAATTTAAATCACATTCTCCCCTTAGAGGATGAATGAAATTCAGTACAATTTTCTTTCCCTGTTTTTAACAGATTAAAAATTATTATTCTTATGTTCGCTTTTTGTGGCATAGAATGTCATTTTTTTGAGCAAGTGGTACGAAAAATCTATTTTTGAATCATTTATTTGCAGCTTTTGTATATTATACAATAATCCATACAAGTGAAAGTGTGTCTGTCTGGCTGTTACCTCTTCACGTTTAAATTTATATGAAATTTGGTTAAGAGGTAGTAGAATCCCGGGGTAAGACATAGGGCGGGCAAGTATTATATAATTAATGATAAATATTCCTTCATATTTTTTATATGACATTGAAAACATGGGTGGCAGGCAGAGTAATATAACTACCATCCCTGGCTCGAGATCTAAACAAGGTAGGTACAGTCTCATTTCACTAAATTCACTCCACACCTGACCTGGAGCTCTATTTTTGAATCACTCGCCTTGCGTCCAACGCTCGATTACTGCTAATTTTTATTCGATATAATTAATTCCGAATTTTTGAATCCCTCGAGTGAAACGAATGGTTGTGACCAATCGTATTGTTTTATACAGCCATGTACTGAGAATTTTTCGTTCCGTATTCATTGCGGTAATTACCGAATGTTATTTTTTCTGCGTGAAATGAATAAAATTTTATATTTCGTATTTAACTGGCAATACCGGTGACGAACGATTCAAAAATACGGAATATCATGCGACTAGAAAGTCGAAGGTAGTTTACTTAAGTCGGATTCGACGATACTATGCCAGGCGAGTGATTCAAAAATAGAGCTCCAGAGCAGCCAATAAGAGATTGATTCCGCAACGGCTGCACGCCCTTTTAACCGACTTCAAAAAGGAGAGGTTTTCAATTCGTTATTATTGGAGTCTCCATGGGTCTGTCTGAAATGTCAGTAACGCCTTTACTCAACGAGTTCTTAACCAATTTTTATATTTTTAGGGTTCCGTACCTAAAAAGGAAAAACGGAACCCTTATAGAATTACTTTGTTGCCCGTCTGTCAGTCTGTGAAGACCCTTCATCTCAACCTGTGACCCTTTATCTCCATAGAAAAGAGTGGAGGTATCGAGTTGGAGGGTTCGAGTCTATGGTTTCTTGAAGCTTGAAAAAATCTAATTTCTATATAAAGGGGGGGAAAAAATACGGCCTTTTATGTTGCGTAGCTTCAATTTTGTATGGAACCCTTTGTGGGTGAGTTGGACTTACGCTTTTCCGTTTTTTTGGACGAGCAGGAGCGCGATCGCTCCTCAGTATCACTACAGGGCGCTCACCTGGCGCGGTTCAGCTTGACGCACTTGAGCGGGCCGGCGGCGCGCGGCCGGTCGAGCAGAAGCGCGATCTGTCCTCAGTATCACTACAGGGCGCTCACCTGGCGCGGTCCAGCTTGACGCACTTGAGCGGGCCGGCGGCGCGCACGGTGGCAGTGCGCGGCCGGTCGAGCAGGAGCGCGATCTCTCCTCAGTATTACTACAGGGCGGTCACCTGGCGCGGTCCAGCATGAAGCACTTGAGCGGGCCGGCGGCGCGCACCCGGATAGTTAAGGACATAGGCGAAGCTATTGTTGTACAAATTAAAGAAAACGTCTGTTCATTTACGGTGTTTATTTTGAAGTAAGTAAAAAATATTCATTGACTTAAATTTAAACAAAAATGACACTAAATTAGATTAGGTAAAGATATTATTAAAGAGTATACATTACAACATCCCCCCTTAATCTAAGTTTATGTACAAGTTTAAGTCTCAAAAAGCAAATAACAATCCCATATAAAACATAAACAATATATAAGTAACCAAATTAAAATATCTATAAAATATATAGGCTAAAGTAACGTTATATAAATCAAGTTATACCTATACAAGTCACACATTTATTCTGAGCTACACGACCTAATGGTTTAGTCAATACATCTGCAGACATCTCTGTACTCTTAATAAACTTTAAACCTATAATATTTTCCGATACCTTTTCTCTTATAAAATGGTACTGAATATCAATATGTTTAGTTCTGTTATAATAAACAGGATTGCTCGCTATACTCTGAGCACTTTGGCTGTCAGTATATATAGTTACACAGTCAGGCTTATGACCACATACCTCAGATATGTCATATGAAACGCCGTAAATATACAGCTTCCTTGACAGCGTCTGTGAGGGCCATATACTCTGTTTCCGTAGACGATAGAGCAACAGTCGTCTACTTTTTAGATGCCCATGAAACTGGACCATTTGCAAGTTGGAAGTAATATCCCGTATATGAACGTCGGTCCATTTTACAGTTTGCCCAATCTGCATCTGTATATCCGATAAGAGGTCTATCACACTTCCTATAAATAATGGAACAGTCTATAGTTTCCTTCAAGTATTGTAGAACTCGCTTTGCGGCGAGCCAATGAGTCTTACTGTAACACTTATTGAATTGACTCAAATAACTAGTCGCAAAAGCAATGTCTGGCCTTGTATTTACAGCCAAGAACAAAATGAGAAGC